TAACAAGACAAAATAAAAAGACAAACATAAATGATAATAAATATAAAAATGTGTAAATCTTTCTGGACAAGATAGAGTTAGCTCGACAGTATCAGCAGCTTCCTTGAGCTTTGGGTGGTTTGGATTATCATCAGCAAACCCTTAGCCAGCCTCTTATGGAGTTTAATGCAGGACCCAGATAATATGTCAGCAAACTATGTTACCAAAGGTTTTATTTAAGAGAAGAAGGGAGGGAGAGACCAAACAACAGACGAGAAGATAAAAACCTTATAAAAAATCCTGCAACACTTAATTCAGACAGTCTGCATGGTTTACTGTAGCCTGGTGCCAGACTTTAGTCTAGATACATGATAATTAGTTGTACTTTGGACACAAGGGTAGAAAAAGAGGATCTTTGGGGAGCAAGGAATCCCCTCAACCCCAAAGCATCTTGGGAAATATACCTCAGCAAAATTCTGCCCGAAGCTAAAGCCCTCTACCTGAGCCCATGAGAATAGCAGCTATGGCAGATTTTGGTATATTACCCTTCCCAGCTGTCCCAGATTTTACTCTCATGTGTAAAGTAGCAGGGAGACACAGTTCATGCATGAACTGAAACCTCAGAGTCCCGGTCATATAGAAAGTGCCTGATGTGGTGAGGAAGACTACAGCAATGAGTGTTTGCAGTCAGTGAATGAATGTGGAGTGAATTAGTGAACGTAACATGCAAAACACTTGTGTGGTAGTTGTCATTCACAAACTAACTCTATCCACTCACCTTTCTATTCTTCTGCAGGTTTTGTCCATGCTCAAAAAACTACATCCCTATACAGCACACAACACACACACACCTCTGCACTACACAGCACCCACACACACCCTCAGCCCTGCGCCATAGAGCACGCACACTAACTCACACCTACACCCAGCACACACTGCAAACATCACATTACCATATACTGTAGGTACTCTTCTTATCAGTCTGTCCTCTAGCTGAACACTGTTTAAGTTTGAGGAACTTAATAACATTTTCCTTGGTTCTGCAATGACAAGCTCTATGATGCTGTCTGAGGTCAAAGCCGAGACAATGTGAGCCCTTCAAATGTAATGTTCTCATGAGACTCCTGCACTGACTTTGTCCCACAGTGTGTGCATGTGTGTGCAGTGTGTGTGTGTGACTGGGATAGAGAGGGAGACAGAGAGAGAGAGCACACTTGTCTGTGTATTTTATTTGGATGCTATTTTGTCTGAACTTCATTCACACTGTTGGGCCAATCACTCCTACGTGACCACATTATAGTGCAGCTCAGCAGCCAGCATACACACAGAAAGTTCATAAAGTTAGGGGGAAAAAAAGTCCCAAAGCAAAGCCCAGTGTGACATTTAACTTTTTCTATAGCCTAGGAAATTTGCAATGAGTAATCCTGGGAGAATCTGCTTTTTCAATTGAAACTTAAAATACTTGAGCTGATATTAAAGGAAGCACATGAAATTTAGCCTAATTTCCCCTGAGAATTTTCTCCTCCCTCTATTTAAAAAAAAAAAAAACACACTGGGCCATTCTTCAAATTCAATATAAACACAAGTAGAACCAAGTGAACCATTCAGCTCTGGTGTCCAATCTGATCCCCAGTCACTGCTTCTATTCCAGTTTCTCACAATCGCATTGAAATTTCAAAGCTACGACTGAAGAGAGAACTTTTCAAGCTCAAACAGCAACAGGCTTTTTTCTCTTTCTTTCTTTCACGCAGTGCCCTTTTCCTCCGCCTTATTTCTATCCTCTTGTGAATGTCAGCCTGCACCCTAATGCATTTCCATACTCTTAAAAGACAGAAAGATAGGATTTTTCCAGTAACTCGAACATGACAAATTTAGCCAAGAGACAAAAGGGACAGAGGGCCAAAACCAACACAGAGTGAAAGTTCCTTACCCCCAATGTTCACCGCATCTGGAACAGCTTCGATCTAGAACGGCTGTGATTTTCGCCATCCATCAATTCCTACTGGATCGGTTGGTAAGATGAATTTCGTGGTGGATTACAGACAGCGGTAATTGTGAGAACTCACAAGAACCCTCGGATTCACGTGCAGTCGCTAGATAACAAGTTGTCTCTATAAAGACAGCCACAGAGGCTAACCATATAAGCAGTAGATTGTGTCCTTCCAGAGGATGAAATCCACCTCTAGACTTCTAAAATCAGCATCACCTCATCCATGGTGTCATCGGGGTGAAATGCTATCTAAAAACCTTTCACTTATTCGTCTCCGCCCATTTGCATGGTGTGAAATACGTTCCGCCTGAAACACGGGGTGTTTTATTTTGAAAAGAAGCCGGATGTTTTATTTTGTGTCTGTGCCCGACTTCCTTTCCAGCACAGCTTAATCTGTGCTGAATTCATCCCGCATGCTCCGGCGTCCGGAAAAAATAGAACTCTTGCGATCGGCTGCAGAGTCCGGCGATCCGCAGCAGAAACATTAACTTGAATGGTTACGATCAGATGTGACCGGCCTTTTCGTAGCTGTTCTGGATGCGGTGGAAATTGGAAGTTACAAGACCTTTTAGGCACCAGAATAAGAATAACCTGATCACAACAGCAACACTTGACTATATGTTGTAGGAATGTGCAAAGTTGTGGTTTAACACCCCTTTATCTCAAACTTGAACAAAGTACATTGTTGTTTGTATTATATCAATTACGGTATAAAATGTTATATAAATTTGCATAATTCCCTGTGTTCTTTTGTGGAGATTAAACATATTCATGTCAGCCTTTCATTGTTCCAAATTGTCATCCAAAAACAAAACTAATCCTAAACGCCCCATAAAGTAAAACTGTCAGACAGACTTCCAATTGACAAGCGCACACGGCTGTGTGGCAGAGACAGACATGAAAGTGGGCAGCCAGTCAGCCAAACAGGCAGGCCATCAGGTGGAAAGACTGGCAGGTAGGTGGTCCAGTTGTCAGGCTGCCATGTGGGGATGTAAGTGGACAGCAAGAAAGGAAGAGCAGCATTCAGACGTATTGACTCCCAAGCAGCCAGGCAGACTGACAGGAGTAGAGGCAGATAGATAGACAGACCGATAAATAGGGAATTATTGGACTGTCCTCCCTCAATCCTTTTTGGTCCACAAAGGACTCAGGCTGGTGATAGAAAGCACGTCTCTGAAAGCTGATGACAAGTAAAGGAAGGGTAATAAAAGGTTTGGAGAGGTGTCAGCTAATAAAAGGAGGGTAAATTTCCATGTAGACATCAAACTCTTAGCCCTATTTTCTAGCAGTCAAATAATGCCAAATAACTTCATTTAAATTGAATTATGTGGTTATTATTTAGCCTTTCAGGTCATCATCCTCTCTACTAAAATCAAAAATCTCCAAAGTACTTTTAAAGATATGGTGTGTAGAAATGGTCAGTGTGAGTGATATCTAGAAGTCCGGCAGCCCTAAAAGATAAGAAGCTGTGCAAGATAAGTATCATCCTACATCTGTCAAGGTTTTAACTATAAAAACATCCTCACCCAGATTTTTTTTATTTTTATGCTTTAAAAATGAGTATTTGGTTTAAACCGGATAAAATAGCTGGCAAAACAAATGTTAACACTTTACTTGATGCTATCTCTATAACACGTCATAAATCCCATTATAACCACGTTATAGCACTGTATAACTATAGTTATAAACACTCATAAATGATCATAATGCTTTATAGCAATAATCATAACACATTATAAAGCATTTTATCATGACTTACAAGGTCAGGTATTATTATGTGTTACGCTTATTGTTATAAAGCCTTGTGATAATTAATGAGTGTTTATAATGATAGTTATACAAGTTTATAAGCTAATTATAACACATCATAAATATATGTATAATGCATTATTTATGTGGGCATTGTCAGTGAGTTGTTAACAGATATATCACATTATAATACCTGACCTTGTAAGTCATGATAAAATGCTTTTTAATGTGTTGTGATTATTGCTATAAAGCATTATGATAACTTATGAGTGTTTATAATTATAGTTATACAGTGCTATAACGTGATTTTAACACATTATACATATATTTAGAATGTGTTATAGAGATAGGCGTCAAATAAAGTGTAACCCAAATGTTCAAAAATACATAGGGGGCCATGAAACTTTCATTTGTTTATAAATGTATCATTTAACTTAACTTTTAGTGAACCCATTCATGCCTGTGTTATCCATTAATGCAGCATGTACATTTTCTTTTGAGCTGTTTAACTGATCTGTGTGCTGCAGACAGAGGAACATAGTTGTGATGTGTCCATGGGTAGTGCAAAAGCAAATGAGCTTTCCAAAGGCAAAGAAAACAGAAAAAAAAAAAAAAAAAATCAAGCACAGGCCAAATCTCCAAAGCTCTGAGGCAGATCGCTTGCCAGCAGGTCTTCAGCATGCCAAAGTCAGGCTCACCAAAAACCAGCCAGGTGATGGAGAGACCAACTACAGGGAGATCACTGGAGTACAAGGGTGACATGAACAGACCCAATATTATCCCAGCATTACCAATGAAGGTGTCCTGATTTTTGTTCCTGATTCCACACTCATAAAAACAAAAACATAGTTTAGGTAACTCTTTAGTCCAGCTGACAGGACGATTCTTATATGGAAATCAACAATTACACCAGCAGCACTAGAGAAAGCTTTATGGACAGCTGCCTTTTAGACACCAACATGAGAAAAACTTTTTTATCATGAAAAGTACAGAGGTTATTAGAGTAAACACATAAATCCTCAATGAAGCATGACATGGTCAGAGAACCCCCCTCTGCTGCTTCTGTTTCCATTCATCTCCAGGATCCTACTACAGCTGAGTAGTATTCACCGCCACCTCTTCCTCCATTGCTCACAGTGCTTCTTGCTGTCCACCATGACGGAGTGTCACCGATGTCCCTCCATCAAGCAGCGATGACTTTCAAAGGTCAGCGATGTCCGTGTTGACTTAAATGCCGGTTACAATGTCTAGACATATCAGTCAAACATGACTGTGCTTTTATTTTCTGTTTGGTTGCCCACATTGCAGTCAAAGCACTATTGGTTTATTTTTGTCACATTTTTTTTATTCTTTGCAATCTTTAATCGAATTAGCCATTTTAATTTCTCTGAATTCTGTTTGTGCTCAAGGTCTTATTTGATGGTTGTTGAAATTATGTCACCTAAACATAATGGCTTGTGTAGCACTTGCCTTTCAAGTTAACCCTTATGTCTCATTTTAGCTTGTATTTGTCACGACTTATTGACAGACATGCCCGTTTCAAAACTGATCCATATATCATGTTTCTGACTGGCCATCACCATAGAGTATGTTGTAACAATTACAATGTTAAGGCAATGAAAAGAGTTTTACCAAATTTTAAAGACAGAATTATCTTTAGTGTACTTAATCTTTTCATCACAAGCTTTACATTAGAAGAGGTGTTGTACAGCTCTGTAGAAAAGCACCTTTGTAAGCTATGTAAATAAACTGCTCATAACTTTATCTTTTTGTACACTAACACTGTCACTGTCACTCACTGCCAAGATTTTCATTTTAGAGCTAAGACTTTTGTTTTGGCATGACACTCGTCAAACCCAAACCCAAACAGATCAATGTCCAATTTTTGCAGTGTCACTCAAAGTGTTAAAGTCTAACTGATGATCTCATTAGCCCTGGTCTGTAATCTTTAGGTTTAGTACTGCTTCATGGTGACAAACTGGCCTGCCCATGTCATGTGAGCTTTATGAAGGGTTTCTAGTGGCCTTGTGTCATTCTGTCTGACATCAGCTGACAGACTGAAGGGGTGAATGATGGCTTTTTATGAAGAAGAATGGCAGCTTTACAGACCACCAGCTGCCCCCAAACACTCATCTCTAATCTCACTTGAACTGCTTGAGTATGTAGGGTTGTCTGCTGAGTGTTGATGGTGATTGATGTGTATGCATGCACATGTAGAAGTTGATTTTTTAACCTCACCATAGCAGGGTCAAATGAGCTGCTAAAGCAAATACTGATCATTGGAACATAACTGTTTTTAAATTATCTTTTTAATGACACACAATCGATATATGAACTATTTTCAAAGTAAATTTTTGTTCTGTGAAACAACGTGGGATAACAACAACAACAACGATGATGATGGTGATGGTGAGACAATGATAGTTTCCCAAAGGTTCAATCATCTATCTTGTTTTAATCCACTTTGACCATGTGATTTCCACCATGGCTCTAAATGGGATGAAGGTACACTCATCTAATCCTAATTTCAGGTATAATCCTAAAGGTTACTATGCTGTGACTTGTTATCTAGTGGAGATTTAACCACCTCCGCTAGTTTTTTTTACAACAAAAACACAAATGACAGAACAATAACAAATGTGAATTTGCACACGTACCATGACTTAAATGCTAAGAGCTAAATGACATGAACTGCTGACACAGATGCTAAATTTGCAAAGCCCCCCCCCATACATTATGACCAGGGAATTAAATTTAGAGGTTTTAATGAGAATAGAACTATCATGATACTGATTTAGCAAAACACAGTTTATTAAATTAATACAGTACATGATTGAAGAAGCAGCTTCACAAATACAAAAAACAATACACAGCATTTTTAAAGCATGATATGACCTGATTACTGGGGTTACCCGAGTGTGATTTATCACAGAAATAACAGACAGCACCCTGACTTTATCCTACACGATCAAGATATAAGACCAAGATGTTGAATGGAACGAATTTTGTTTCAAAAACTTTTACTTGATGCTCTTTTTATGTCTTTTCTCCCCTGAAATGATGATGAATGGTATAATACATTCATGATATTTATGTTTTACACGTAATGAGCAGAAAAGTAATTACTCAAGGAAAGTTGATTCATTAGTTTATGTATTACAATTCATGTGAGGTTTTTAGACCCTTGAGGGTTTGTGTTACCTGCATATTTACTCCTATAGGGGACAGTGGAGTAAGATGAGACATTTTTCATATTTCGGATCACTACATCAAGAAAATCATAGTTTTCTCTCTAACTTGTGTATCTGCATATATTTTAAGATGTGCATCACTGAGAACCAACAGATTGAGTGTAAACATAACTGTCTTGATAATATAGCATGGCAAAAAAAGTAATCTCCTATGGTCAACTTACCCCGTGTATGGGGAAAGTTGACCATAGGAGCGGGGTAAGTTGAGCTGTATCCTTACTTCCCCCCACTCTCAACTCCAGCCCTTCTTCACCTTCTCTCTCTCCCTAAATAACAGTCACTTCTTCACATTCATGTGTATTTTTGCCTATCATATACTATTTAACTGGTACAATAATTCTTTTTATTAATATTATTGTATATAACTGTAACTCCCCTATATTAATTGCAAAGGCTGCTCATATTTCGACTTATTTAGGTCTAGATTAAAAGCATTTAGGTCAGGATTGCTGGCATTTTAGCTGTTATTTGTGACAGTTTAAAGCTCTTTTTTTAAGCTGTCTGTTATTACAAATCAGCTGTACCCCAAATATTAGCTGCCCCTGTATAATGAATCTTTTCTGTATTCTTATGTCATAGTTTCTCTGTGGCACAAATGTGGCAAAACTCCATATATATTTATTTATTCAGAATAATTCCTATCAACTGCAATCACTTTCCTCCCTTCAGCGGGACAGAAAATCGTGATGGAGTCTCGGTCGTAAGCTCTGAGCTGCTCGCTGCTCACTATATGGACTTGTGTTGCCCGCTGGAGGCGAGGCGGGGGAAAGCATGCGAGCGGTGGAGGGGGATAGATGCAGCGCTCTGTGTTTCCCTGCCGCTCCTCCTGCTTGCTGTGGAAACCCGTGGCCACCCCTATCTGTCTCCACAGCAGACAGGAGAGGCATTGGCGGGGGTGAGGGCTGCCAAAAGTAGTAGAAAACTCCTCTCAGCAGAAAAAAAAATGGGTATGATTGTGATGATTTGAAGTTTTTACCTCAATCCCAAAACATAAAAAATATGGAGAGAGAAGAGAGAGAGGGAGAGAGAGAGAGAGAGAGAGAGAGAGACGTTGTACTGTCATCCACAGGTCTGGCAGTCTCACCCACCCAGCACCACGCGCTCCATGACTCTGATTTATTTATATATTTGTCTTGATGCGCGTCGCCGCTAAGTAAGCCGGAGCTCTCCTCACCCTCTCCTCTCCTCACTTCGCTTCCTCTCCTCTACTCGACAGCATCCAGAACTATAGCGCAACCTCCATCATCACTCGTTCCTTCCTCTCCTCCTCTTCCTCTCACCGCCAGATCTCTCTCCACTGCGCCTCTCGCCCCTCCACCACCAACCACCAACACCGCCGCCGCCGCCACCTCCCCGGCTCAGTCCCTCTCTCCTCTCTGACGCACGACGGGGGGGAAACGGACCCGCGAAAAGACAGGACAACGACAGCAGCTGACCCCCACGCGTTATTATGATCAACGGACTCCTAGTATCGCAGCTCCGGACAGAGACACGACCCTGAATCCGAGAGGAGAGCACTCTCACCCGGCTGCACAGTTGTTGAACGCTCGCCCGAGAAGGGGGTGCGGAGGCGACGCGGCGGCGGAGGAGAAAGAGGAGGAGGGGGGAGAGGGGAGAAAGAGGAAGCGGACTGGCACAAGTCGAGGGCTTGCATTTTAAGCAAACTGCTTAGGGGAAGAAAAAAAAAAGAGCGGAGACGAGAAAGAAGGGGAGAGTCAGAGTCACCGGAGAGCAAGAGTGGGGGAGATTGCATTCCTATCACGTCTTCATTCCTCCTCTCTCCTCTCTTTTGCCTCAACCACAGAGTGAGAGAGGGCGAGAGAAGGAGAGAGAGGGGGAGAAAGATAGAGAGAGAGAGAGCAGGAGAGAGAGAGAGAGAGATCTAACAAGATTCATAGTGGTCTTTTTTCCCCCGATGCTTTCCAATCGCAGTACCAAACTAAGGTGAGTGTTTTGGCGATGTTTGGAGAGTATCACGAAGGGGGAATCTTATGCAGATGTGTGCGTATGTGTGCAGCATATGTGCGTGTATTTTGTATGCTTATGTGTCTGCTTAGCCACGGACTTAAAAGGGAACATCAAGCACTCCGTAGAAGCAGGATAACGGATCGCAGGGATCCAGTCGACTGATCAATAGCCGTTTGTTCTTTATTCACCGTTTCCCTGCCAATGTCACGACGGAGGGTTACTGCATTATGCTTGGCATGTATTTCAATAAGCTTTCTGCTATCTCTGCTCCATTGACAGCGAGGTTGTTTTGAGTCAAATTCCAGCATATGCGAGCAGGGTTTATTTTGTCAAGACTATACAGGAGGTTTTAGATCGAATCGTTCCTCCTTATAACTTCAGGTCATGTTGGATTTACCACTTTTAATTTATACAGGCTGCTGAGAATCTTTCCAGCTTGGCTCATTCACATGCCCATCTCTCTCTCTCCTCTCCTCTCTCTCTTTCTCTCTCTCTCCTATCCCTGTCCTCTTCTCGTCGTCACCCCTGTTTCTTGTCCTCTTCCTCGCAGCCCGGCATCGGACGGTGAGCGGGACGCATCGAGCAACAGCAGAATACACCGCAGAAGGATATGTGAAGTTGGAATCCCACTAAACTAAGTACGTATGTCGTCTAATTTGAGACAACCCCCCCAAGGGAATGCATTGTGGGACGCATTTTTAATTGCTTTAAATCCCGTTGTTACTCTTTTTCTACGTCGCATCTGCGCTTTTTTTGATCTTTACCGTGGAGGCGGGATCGATAAATCCTGGAGGATTACGCACAGAGACGAGGACGAAAACTATGAATTCTGCATTTTGGAGGAGGAACGGGGATTTTTTTTCTCCTTGTACTGCACTTTTTTCGGGGGAATTACTTTGTATTTTCTTTTATTACTTCTCAATTGTCCGTTTTGCTGGGCTTTGCTTTCAGTACCATGGAGAGCGACTCTCCTCCGGCAGACAGTCCCAGCGCTTGGATTTTCAGCATCGTCGTTTGACAGCGCCGTGTGTGTGTGTGTATGCACGGGTGTGTGTATGGACAGTGACAGCCTAAAAAAAGATATTTGGTGTGTGTGTGTGCGTGTGCATGTGTGTGAATGACTTTCTCACAAGATACACGGAATCTTCCATAACCCCCTCATTATAAATAATTAAGGCGTTGATTATTATCATTATTATAATTATTAATGTTATTTTTATTATTATTATTATCGCCGGCTCATCTTGTACACCCTCATAACTGAGCCTCCAGGAGCAGCAGCTTCGCCCACTTTTCCCCTGTGCCCTTACTCGTCCAAATCTAAAATGGAACCACCAATTGTTAATGCTAGGAAAGTTGCAGTGATTGTGTTTTTTCGGCCAATGGTTGACTTAATCGTCATGCAATAGTTCTTGGAAATTTTGAATTGGGGTTATGCACAAAAGAAAGGGCAAATGGCAGAGGTTTGCTGTTTTGCTTTACGTCAGGCTTATCACCTGCTGGACTTTTTTTTTTCTCCTCCTCCTGCTTTGATTGTGTTGAAGTCCCATGAGCACTTTCACAGCTTTTTAAATCCCTTTTTATTCGGATTTTCACGAGCTTAAGTGAGCGCGTATGAAAACATCGAGGTTCTATTTAAAGGTGATGGACGTTCAGTTAGTCCTCCAACAGTCCTCATCTCATCCCAGTAATGGTCGCCCAACTGACACCTTTTCCATTCCCATCCTCTCCCCTCTATATTTTCCACCGTGCTTTTCTGGACTCTCATATATCGAAAGAGGGATTGAGGTCCCTGTTATGTAATAAACACAGCCCGGGGACGGTGTCTCCTCACCACTAACCTCGCCCACTTGGTACTCCCTTCGTTTATTCACGGAGATAAGCATCTGTGAGCTGATTTATTACGACCTTACCAGCACAGCTGCTCTGTAATGAATGGCATTTCCTCTAATACACTGACGATAACTGTCTGAATGCTGAGATTTGTTTGCAATTCTGAGTGTCATTTTAGCCAGCTAAGAGTGCTTACTGATATTTTCCATAATGGCTAGAAATATTGTCATTTTTATCATGTATTGATGTTTATTATTAAGCTCTCTTTTACTCTGCTAATCCTCCAGAGAGTAGGTGTGCATTTTTGTTTGTTCATTGCAATCTTCACCTATATTTTCATTCAATATGTTGTCCCTCTGTTTTGTGTTGCAGTGTTGTGAAGTGGCTCTGTCCCTGGAGCCAAGACTTCATCCCCTTGGTGTCAGCAAGGATGCTGTGGGTTACCTTGCTGAGCACCATAGCCTTAGGATGGACCACCCCAATCCCACTACTAGAGGACTCGGAGGAGATCGACGAGCCCTGCTTCGAGCCCTGCTACTGCGAGGTCAGAGAGGGTATTTTCCACGTCCACTGTGACAGTAAAGGATTTACAAATGTCAGTCAGATTTCCCAGATGTGGAGTCGGCCCTTCAAGCTCAACCTGCAGAGAAACTCGATGAGGAAGCTTTACTTTAATAGCTTCCTCCATCTAAACAATGCCATATCCATTAACCTGGGTAATAATGCCTTGCAAGATATCTATGCTGGAGCATTCAATGGATTAGGAATACTCAAGCGGCTTTTCCTACATGAAAACAAACTTGAGGTTTTCCGGAATGACACTTTTCTGGGTTTAGAGAGTTTAGAATATCTCCAGGCGGACTACAATGTCATCAAAAGGATTGAAAGTGGTGCATTCAGGCACCTTCACAAATTGAGAGTGCTCATACTTAATGACAATCTCATCCCTGTGCTCCCAAATTATCTTTTCCGGTCTGTGTCACTCACACATCTGGACCTACGGGGGAACAGACTAAAGACATTGCCATATAGAGGCACACTGGAGTACATTGGGAGGAGCTTAATGGAAATCCAGCTGGAGGAGAACCCTTGGAACTGTGTGTGTGAGATAGTTCAGTTGAAAACATGGCTAGAGAGGATCCCCTATACAGCGTTAGTTGGGGAGATCACATGTGAGTACCCGTTTCACTTACATGGAAAAGACTTGCGGGAAATCAAGCGCAGTGAGCTCTGTCCACTACTCTCTGATGCAGAGATCGAAGCCAAGCTGGGAATTCCCAGGGTCCCTTTCAGTAATGAGAACACATGGCCTACCAAACCCTCCTCCATGCTCTCCTCCTTCCATAACACAGCCTCCTCTGTGGAAAATAGGGAAAGGGTAAAGCCTACCAAAAGACCTCGGCCAACAAAATACCCACCAACTCCTCGTAGCATCTACCCAGGCAACCAGCCACCCATTCGTGACTACCAAACCAGGCCCCCCATCCCAATAATTTGTCCAACTGGATGCACGTGCAACCTTCACATCAATGACCTAGGACTAACAGTTAACTGTAAAGAGAAAGGCTTTCATAACATTTCTGAGCTCCTGCCTCGGCCCCTCAATGCAAAGAAATTGTATCTCAGTGGAAACCTTATTCAGAAAATCTACCGTTCTGATTTCTGGAACTTCTCCAGTTTGGATTTACTTCATTTAGGAAACAATCGGATATCCTATGTCCAGGAGGGGGCTTTTATCAACCTACCAAACTTAAAAAGTTTATATTTGAATGGGAATGACATTGAGCGACTCACGCCAGGGATGTTTCGAGGGCTGCAGATGTTGAGCTACCTTTACTTTGAGTATAACGTCATCCGTGAGATACATCCTAACTCCTTCTCCCTGATGCCAAACCTCCAACTGGTTTTCCTCAATGACAACCTGCTGCGTTCTCTCCCTGCTGATGCCTTTGCCGGAACCAACCTTGCACGCCTGAACCTCCGCAACAACTACTTCCTCTCTCTGCCTGTGCGTGGTGTTCTCGAGCATCTGACCTCTATTGTCCAGATTGATCTTCACCAGAACCCCTGGGACTGCTCCTGTGACATCGTCCCCCTGAAACAATGGCTAGAAAAGCTCTCGTCCGTCATCGTGGTTGGAAACGTCTTCTGCAAGACACCCGAGTTTGCTTTTGGGAAAGACCTGCGCTCACTGGAGGTCGAAGTCATCTGTCCTGAGCTGAAGTATTCCTCAGGCCCCTCACCAGCGCTGCCTGGTGGGGATGACCTCACCACTGGGAGCTCTAACATGGGAGAGGCAGGTGGGAGAGGAGCTGTGCCGCTGTCTGTCCTCATCCTAAGCCTCCTCATCCTCTTCATTTCTGCTGTGTTTGTGGCTGCTGGTTTTTTTGCCTTTGTTCTCCGTCGCAGAAAGAAGCTTCCCTTCCGGAAACGTTCTGAGGTAGATCTAACAGGGATCCAAATGCAATGCAGGATTTTTGAGGACCCACCAAGGCAGAGTAGTGCTGGTAATGCTGGCACACCAGAAAAACCAACACCCAGTATGCACACGCACACTCACACCACTCACACACATGCCCACGGTCATGTTTATGATTATATCCCCCACCCTGTGACTCAAATGTGTAACAATCCCATATATAAGCCGAGAGAGGGAGAGATAGCAGAGGAAGACAGAGCGCAGTTTTCAGAGAAGAAAGACAATGGCACCAGTAGCAACAGTAACTACAGAACCTTATTAGAGAAAGAGAGAGAGTGGACCCTGGCTGTCTCCAACTCTCAACTCAACACCATTGTCACAGTCAACCACACAACGGCTGACATGGCAGGATTTCACGAGAACGGAGGGCTCTGCCCCACAGTAATTGACAGTCAGAGGCCCACGCCAACAGTGGGCTTTGTAGACTGTTTGTATGGGACAGTACCCAAACTAAAGGACATGCATGTGGCGCATGCACACCCACCAGGCATGCAGTATCCAGATTTGCAGCAGGATGCACGGCTGAAGGAGACATTGCTTTTTACAGCGGGGAAAGGCTGCTACCCTGACCCGTCCCAAAGCGATTACCTCGAGTTAAGGGCCAAACTTCAAACCAAGCCGGATTACCTCGAAGTCTTGGAAAAATCTTACCGGTTTTAACATCTCTAGCCCATGGGGAAAAAAAAACAAAACACAAAATCAACACACCCACTTTGCAACCCTCTAAACAAAATCACCCAAAACCAGTATCAAAAAACAATAACTTGAAAAAGCAGCATGATAAAAAAGAAGTATAATATGGTTACAACACAGTCCCCCCCCCAAAATCACTTTGGAGGAGAGGCCATTCTCAGATATTTCAATGAAGTGCCTTTTTTTCAGAGTAGCCAGCAATGTCAACAGCCGTTATTTTTATAATATATAAATATCTCTATATGCCCGAGAGAGCAAAAGGGGAATAAGAGGGGCACTGGGGAATAACAACATACAAAACATCCTGAAGTACATCTCTCACGAAAACCCCTTTTTTGTGGAATTACCATGGTGGGAAAGACACACGGGAGCTGGACGTCTCCCTGACTTAAGGGTTTTCTTTCTGTCTCTCTTACCCCTGAGTAGGATGTACAAACACCCGGAGGCCATGCACATAAAGTTTCTAGGTAATGTCGGAAAGAGAAAGGAAAAAAAAAAAAAGAAAAACTATATATTAAAATGAACTGCAGTTTGCTGCATGCACTCGCTTCGGTGCAGGAAGCGAGGGGATTTCCTCATAACTATCACACCACATAACGAACAGATACTGCAACGCATTTACAGTTCAGTGTTCTATTTAATTTTTATATCTTATTAATATGGTTATTACTATAAATGAGGACTTCTGTCTATATCAGGGTGCTTCTCGTAAAAAGGACGCGCCGACGTACGGATGGTAAAACATTTGTGAATATTATTATAAGACAACGCTCAAGGTTTTCTGGATATTTCATGCACTTTGTTGACCCCCCTTCCATTGCTTCTGGATTCCCCATTGTCACCCACTAACAGCTTTGTAGGAAGCACTTTTAATGTTTTCTCTCACAAAGATTTGAAGAAAAATGTGCATATATTTATTCTGTAATTTCAGTGAAGAATTTAATTGTAAAGGTAATGTTAAATCAATGTATAGTGATTATGCGTCTGGTATAGCCTTCTTAATAAAAACAAACTCTTCAATCAAATGAAAGGGTTGATGCCACGGGAACGTGTGTCTGGCGCTGTTGACAGGATGTGTATTTGGTGTCTTGTTTCAATGGCATGTTGGAGCTGTGGCCAACTATCACGAGATAAAGCTGCTGGAAATGGGGGGGTTGCTAGAGAACCAATAGAGTGCTAGACAGAAACGCAGTGGAGGGCAATAACATTTAATCTCAGTTCTGCTCATTAGTTTTGGATTAGTACAGAAGTAATTTATGTTTTAGGGGAAAGTATTTTTCTTTTCTTCTGAAAAATAATCTATTTTTGTGTCTATTTGTAGTCTGCCCTATGATCTTCCCCCTGCTGGATACCATAGTGCACAATCTTTTTTTCTGCCACTACGTTACTGCTCCTAGTTGGCAATCTGAGGGTTAAAAGACACATAAAACTCAGTGCCAGAAGAAGTTAAGTGTCTGCCGCTGGTCTGAAAGTGGGTGATATCACAGGATATACCAAATCAGTGGGGCATGCTGCAATTTTAATTATCTTAACAGGTACTGCTGATGTAGGCTAATTAACAATAATTGGGAGGCCGTGAAAAAAGTGATTGGAAGTCGCTCTATGAATTTGCGCATCAATTTTTTTTTCCTGACTCCCTCCCGAAGTAGCAATTTGGACTAAGTCCACTGGGGGGCGATAATAAGGTGTTCAGGTTCATTGGGTATTGAGTAGACTGGTTGCAGTTACAGTACAATGTAATGCACAAAATGCTTATCCTAACAGGTCATCAAGTCTTGTATTTTTATGATTGTTTTAAAATATCTATCTTAAAACCTTCAAGTTTCAGAAGTCAGTTTGATTCCTTAAAGCACATTTTCATCTGTTTGATGCTTTTTCCCTTTTGCACTTGATTTCTTTCAAACCAATTGTGAAAATGGTAGAATAAAGCAGCTCTATCAACAAAATAAAACTTTATTTTCCAAAAAAGAACACTTTGGAAGAGCTTTATGATGCCTTTACGTATTTGGTATACATTATTTCATTTTGGGTTGCTGATTGTTGATATTTTTCAAATGAAGACCCCAGTACTATTTATCATGGAGAGTATGTATTCCCCAGCAAATCTGAACTGCACAACTATTTACCTGTCATATTTTAAGATTTTTTGTATTTTCCTGTTCTTCCCTTATTTAATTATTTGGGACCAAGCAAACAAAAAACAAGTTAGGAGCAGCTGCAAAGTAACTACTGTGTTAAATCTGCATGTAGTGCACCTCTTCTCTTTCTTACAGAGGAGTTTTAACATGATGCACTCTTGATAAATTTGGGACTAGGCCTTGAAGGGAGGTGCTTTTTTGCTTTAAAAGGGACTCAATGCACATTGCTTTACCCTTAGCGAGTTTAGATGAATCATCTTAAGTATTGATCATCAATGATCCAGTCTATAAGCTCGACTCATATGGAACATCTTATCTTGTGCTGTATTCAATGTTTAATAATAATAATGACGAGTGAAGGTCACCTTCATATAAAGCCTTTGTAAGCATGGTAGAATAATGCCAAGGCTCTTTTTACTTGCACAATGCTGTACCCCTATATTCTGATGCCCAACTTAATTGTCTGCTCCTTTTATTAATTCATTTCTTTATTCAAACACTTAAATACACACACATAAACACATAGACACACAAACACACACTTACAGCTTTCCTTTCCCTGACCAAGAGGTTAGACTATATGGTCAGCATTTTCAGTGTGCACTCAGTTTGATTAAAAAACATAATGCTTACTCTGTTAACCCTGACCCTCCCATCAACCCCACCCCTAAATGAATAAATAAAGTTTTTGGATCATTGATGGTTTTGCTATAGTCCCATATCTGGGTAACCTTCTATACTCTCCCCCAGGCACCCACCCCCCATAATATTTCACAAATGAGTGCTGGGCTTTTGTCCTATTATACCATGCTGAGTGGTTTTATCCCAATAAATCCTCTTGTTATCCTGCACTAATATCTCCAAGTGATTTCATCCTTTGGTGGAGAATTAGATAGGGCAACCAATGCGCTCTCAGGTTGGCTAAATGTTTCTTTTATGTGTGAAATGTAAACATGCGCTGCTGGTTTGAATCGTCCTCTATTATCTCAGTGATATTTGAATTTCGCAGTGGAGTTAACCTTTCCTTCGACATCTCTCCTGAGGTTTGTACGCTGGCAAGACTTCAGCATGGTAAATGCAGAGTGTGCCTTTTCTTCTGTCTTTGCCTTTCACTGTCTTGGGCCCTGCAACTCTGTTTTTTGTTTTTTTTTTCTCCTGTCTTCCTGTCTCACTGTTATCTTTTGTGTCTCCTTTTGTCCCCTGAAACTGAGTTGGTATTGTCTATTTTGTGTCTCGAATGGGGCTTTGGTCATTGTTGTTCAAGCCTTCAATCGGTGTCTTTCATTAGTTCTGGTTTTGACTAATTTAAACAACTTTGAGCACAAGCATGAAGAAAGAAAATATTCAATTTTGTTTTCATTTCTGCTTTGAATTTTTTTTTTTAATCCTAATTCAACATAATTTAGATATCCGTGAACCTTTAATGTCTGTTTTCCCACCACCCTAGCTCAGCTTCAAGGTCTGCCTGCTTTATTCAGATATATATTTTCTCTGGGAAAGTGGTTGAATGATTTTCTAAGGACATACATAAAGGGGTCGAGAAACATTACATACAATAAAAAACTGGCACTTATCATCATGAAGTTAGTTTATTTTTTGTTTTTTTGTGTATTGCTTCCCATTTGAGTCGTACTAAAGCTAAATTGTAATGGAGTGAATCTTAAAAGTTTAATTGGAAAATGATGTAGGATACGATACAGTAACACATTCTTATGAACCATCACTTCAAGACAGTTGTTTCAAATTGGCTCCTCTTTAAAATGTGAATTTTTCAATAGGGCTTCTGCGCACTCTCACACCATTTATCTGTAGTCATTTGTTCCCTTTACAAAAAAATAAGTGGATAATTGTGTGTTAAGTAGAGGCAGGGACCTGGATGTGACTACAGGGATCTGATTTCATATGTGGTGTGATGTTATTTTTTTGACCCTCTTATTTCCTTTGGCATTTTCGCACTGGATATTTTTAGGGCACTATTGTGTGATAGCAAAAAGATGCTGTCAGTCATCAGGTCCTTTCAGTTGTTTGCCTAAATCCATGTTTAAATGTGATAAATAGCACATTTTCATGTATTTCTGTGTTCTTGTTTCCCCGTACCCCATTGGTGTGTGAGCACTCGAGAGTCTTGATTAGTCCAGGCGTGATTTGGAAAGGCAGAGCAGAGAGAGAGAGAGGGGGAAAGAGAGTGATGAAGGGATCAGTTTGAGAGCACTATTGATAGGAGGGGGAGCACAGACAAGAGGCTTAGGGAAGGGTGAGAGAACATGGAGTTTTCAGGAGAGGATTGTGAAGGATGTGCCACTTTGAGAAAGTAGGGATTTTTTCTGTTGTTCTTTTTGTCGCTGGAAGAAGCTGTGGTTGTCCAATTAACCAAAAAGAGGGAAGGGAGAATGCACATTTTAGAGGCACTGATAGAAGCTTGCAAGCACTTAAATTTTGCATAACTCGTGTGTGCATGTGTTTTGATATTCTTTTGCCATTTGGGGAAACGGGGAATTATCTGCAGTTTGCTGAAAAAGCCAATCTGTCTCTGACCGTGGTGCTGAAGTTGCAGTAAACTGCAGGTGCTGCATACAAAAAGTCACGTTCTACTTTTTTTGTGCATGCGTGTTTGTTTGCGAGGTGGGAAATGTGTCTCTCTTGGCTGTGTGTAAGTGTCTAGAAGTTTACCTTAGTTCTGTGTGATTATGCTGATGGCACAAGTTATATTTTCTTAGAGTTTTAAAGTGCTGTGCATACTTTTAAAACTGTGTTTTCCTGAGCTGAGAGTGCTTTTTTTTTCAGTTTTATACATGCATTGTACAGTATCAACAATTAATGTGGTACATTTGAACTAAAATGCCAAATATAATCTATTCCTTTTTATAAATATGTTGAAAAAACTTTGAGACAAAAGAGGAAGCTGAAGGAAATAAAAAGAAACAAGGGAACCATTTGCTTCCGAACGGTTTCCTTGGCTCAAAAAATCAGGAGAAAGCCTTAAACACATCACTTGACTCTGCTGCAGTGCAGGAGCTCGACTGACCTGCTATGTGGAGAGTGAGAGGGAGAAAAGGGGGGGAGGGGGAGACGAGAAAGAGAGAGAAATGAGGCTGCAGAAGGAGAAGTTGAGTACTTGTGTGTGAGTGTATGTGTTTGTGTGTGAAAGAGAGAGAGAGAGGGTATTTCTCAACCCTCTGCTACTTCTGCTTCTGCGTGCACCATAAAAGTCATGAGTTTGTATTGTTTGCCTTGTGAATTTTGGGTCCTTTGGGGATTGTGGCCCTCTCTCCTGTAGAAAAAAAAAAAAAAATCTGCAAGTTTGGGGAAGTTGCAGTCATTTGTGCTGCTCAGCACTGTGCTACAGTTTTAGCTTCAGTATGTAAGAAAGATTAGCAATCTGTGTCGTTATCACTCACTTTAGGGGAGGGGAGGGGAGAGGGGGAGGCATAATTTCATAAAGTAAAATGGAGCATGATGTCCCTGGTTGGTGTTCTGAATAGCCCATCTCTGTCTTTGTTCTGCAGTGTGGGGCCTACTTTGTGCTGTAGAATAGCCTGTAGTTAAACCGACTGCACTTTTTCTGCATCTTGATTTATCCTTTTGAGCTTCGGCCACATTTTTCTCATGTCACCGTTGAAAAAGAGCTTACAAAGTCGAGAGCGTGTTTCCTCTCCAGATTCCTGCTTTTATGAAGATTTCATATTTTGCACTTAGTTTTCCCCTCGACTGCACTTTTCTCTTTCGTTTTTGAAAACTTTCTTTGGAAAACTCTTCCTCATTTCACACTCGGCTGTCTTTATTGATTTATTTTTTTCTTAAGCTTGCAGAAAAATACAACAGCGAACTGTTGACCTGGTGACCTTTGCGTTTGTCGGTATATTTACGGCTTTTGTAATATTCCACTGACACCACTTCAGCTCAGTCGGGTACCCTTTGCTTCGCTATAACTGACTCATTGAAGCTTTCTCGCTCTCTGTGTGAGTGTCGGTCCATTTTCTGTGAGTAATAGCAAGGTGTACATTTTTAGATGCTGCGTTATCTACAAGTGGCCTGTGCGAAAAGGCCAAATAGATTGAAATAAGAGTCTTATTTCTGGATAACAGATTAAGTTAACTTCCTGTCTCTTTCCCCTTAACAGACATCAAGTCTTTGCTGATTCAAGGCTACTCTGTGTTAGTTTGATTGTAAGGCTAAGTGAGTGTGAAAAGGCCAGTCAGAATACCTGGTCTTAGTTTTGCTTTTGAACGACATTTAGAGGAATCATACTGCACATTAGGATTTTGTCATCAACTACTTCAGAATTCATTTAAACAGTTGAACAGGATGTTAAACTACTCACTGAGGTTTAATTAAGAGAAAATGAACAAAAAAGAAAGAGCATTGGTGTCCCTTTTGTGCTTGTTTTAATACTTTGACGTTCAGCTGCTCTACTCAGGTTGCAAATCCTTGGTTGGCCAAGGCCACCTGCTGGTGGCTTGTATAGCTGATGTTCCTGGTTATTTTAAGTGCATAATGCCTCTGACGTAAAAGCAGGGGCTTGAGTTCTGTTCCTGGTTTAAATATTTCCTGTACTCAGAGATTTAGAGGAAGCAAAATCCAGCTCCTGTTTTAAAAATAAAACTATCAAAGGTGAAATTACATTTATGCCATGAGAAGAAGAAGCTCTGAATAGTCCAATGTGGACTCATATCCTGAAGCGCAAATGTCTGACAGTTTAATTGTGAGTGAAGAGAAACAGAGGACAATGAGAGAAAAGAAGGGCAACAGGGCGAGGATTGTGTCCCTGACATTCTGCTCTCGGTTAAAGCAAACCTGTAATTCATTTCGCTGCACTTAACAGCTGCCTGTGTGATCATGGACAGGATAAACTCACACTATTACTACACAAGAGCAGAGAGTACAGGAAAGTGCATTAACATGTGACATATATCATTAATGTTTTAAGCAGGGTCAATGTGATATGAAATGGAATTCATGAGGTCAAGTGGGATGTAATGTCATTTTGCACATAGAACTAAATACCACTCCTGTAAGCCACATAGTTATGCATTTATATAAAATGTATACGCATTAGCTAACACAAATAAACATTAATTCTCCCTTACCGTGTAATCTGCAGGTTGGTACAATGAGCGGGAATGGCTTACTCTTTCTTATGGAAGTAGTGTGTTTATGTTGTAATGCAATCAGTATACCTCTGTTAAGGTCTGTGTGTGTGTGTGTGTGTGTGTGTGTGTGTGTGTGTGTGTGTGTGTGTGTGTTTGTGTGTGTGTGCGTGTTACTGGCTCTGGCTTTACAATCAGCTGACTGAAATCCATTTGCACCAGGCTGTAGCAGAAGGCAGGAGGGGGCTGAAGTAACAGAGGAGAAGAAGCAGAGGGGCGTCATTTTGGTCATGAATTGCACTTGAGATGATTTTATTGAAAAACAATAGATTTTTTTTTCTTTTAAGGTTTTGTAATGACAGAACAATTGATCACAAAATAATGTGACTGACTATTGTTCACAATTTAACTTGTTTTTCTAGTTTCTCATTATTTGTGACTCAGTTTTAGCTGCAGGAGTTGGGCAAAAACATTGAGTCCTAACTGCTTTAAGGTCACATGTATAAATTTTAACCTCTTTAAAGTCACTGTAAATAACGCATATTTAGGGCGGAGCCTGAAACAAGCTTCTTGTGTGACTTGGTCTATGATTTGCATAACAGACTGGTGAAAAGGAGCCTTTAAAAACATACATGGTTGTGTTTTAAATTTGTTGTTTGCTCTGTGAGCCTCAGCTAGCGTACTATATTCTAACATGTAGAAACCCTCTGTGTGTGTGGGTGTGTGTCACTCTGTCTCTGTATGTGTGTCTATGTGTATGTGTGTGTGTGTGTGTGTGTGTGTGTGTGTGTGTGCGCGCCTCCCGGCCTACCTAGACAGACCCCTGGCGTGTCCTCACCCACTGACCTGATGTTAGCCAAACATTTCTGCTCTGTTAGTGAACGTAATGATGCGTAATGTGTCTCTAAACTGTATGTGTGTATTGTCGTGACTGTGATTCTGTGTGTCATTGTGCGACTGTGTGTGTGTGTGTTGAAGTAAAGTGTGTGTAATGATGTGAATCTGTTGTTGTGTTAGTGAGAGAGCTCTGTAACTGCAGCTACAGCAGTGTTGGAGAGATTTGTGGAGATTTTTGCCTAATGAGCAGGGATCACTTGCATTGTTAGCGTTAGCTTGACAGTGCAGGAGTTAGCTTAATTAAGGCCTGGGCACTCTGAGGGGATCAGCAGTATCCCACACTAACACACACTCAAGCTTAAACGTTTCTATAGGTAATGAGAGTCTTAATAGTCACAAATCCAAAGCTGCAAGAGGATTTCTGAAACACTTCTTTTCTTCTGTTTTTTTCTTTTTTTTTTTACTTTATGCAGAAAACTGTTTTGTTGGCTAAGTGTTGAAAGTTGATTAATCTAGTGCGAGAAGCAAGCAAAAACAATGCACATGAGCTTAAAAACATACGTCCTGTATGCTTTGCTGCATAAATTTGAATGGCAGCCTATTTGCTGTGTGATGCGCGACGCTGCTGCCACACTCCACATACACATCCTGTATGTTTTAGCCTTTAGTCTGACTAAAATTGCACTAAATCAAACTAGTCAGACTGACATATCTGGATTTATTTTCTTTGTTATATAAATGGCTCAATGAAACGGAAACTTGGATGTTCCAGTGTTTGCACGCTGGGGTTTGAGTCAAAGTTGAGTAAAATGGATGTGTTGCTTGGAAGCTTGGTAGTAGACAAAACCTCAACAGTACTGGAAATGACAAAGAGATCAAACATTCTTATCGTACCAAAAAAAAAAAAAAAAACAGTACAGAGCTGTAAGATGGATAGTGTTTTCATCGTTTGGGGTACATCTCATTAGCCTCTTGCTTACGTGTTTTGCTGCCTGTGAAAAGTAAACAGGGAGAGGATCTGAAAATGAAGAGCTGAAAGTTGGCATGTTGCCACCTACCCTTGCAGAAGTGGACACGCTTCAGTCAATAATTACATTTTTGACCAGCAATTGTAAACTGGGACAATGACAGTAGACCAGTTCAGTCACACAATCAACCTATAACCATAGCTGGAATTTACTGTGCATGTTAACGTACTGAGTGAGCCAACCTTTACTTTTGGCCTTCAGTGCTTCCCTTCAGAAACTATCACATTCAAGTTTTCAACAGTCTACTCTCAGAGGCAAGAGTGTAGAATTGGGTAAGGACGCTAGGGACACGTCTCCACTAATAATCAGCTGCTACAGTGTTGTCCCTATCAATATAACTGCTGTCTGTAGTGTTTAATCAATGATTATGGCACACAAAGGGTTAACAATCGGGCTTTGCTAGAAGTCCCGCCTCTAACCTAAATATCACTCTTCAATTGGCTGCCAGTTTCTCGCTTACATACATGTGATTGGCTGTCCCTGTTGTCACTACACTTGTCTGTGAAAGTTACCTGCTAGTTGGACCAGATGGAAGGCAGACAGTGCATGTTATCTTCAACTGCGAAGTTTAAGATGTCAACATGTTGCGCATACTGTGTCTGGGTGGGTCACGTCATCTTAAACAGGTTTTAGTATCAGCAGTGTAATTTACATTTAAGTTCGTGTTTGTGTCGGTTTACATGTGTGCGTGCATAAACTTTCAGGAGGACAATTTTGTGTCCTCACCAATGTCAAAATCAAACCTACTCCCTTTCTCAGAGGCCAGTGATGTTTATCTTTATTGCACAATCGTCTTAGATTGTATGTAACAGAGTCTTTATTATGTTTTTGTCTCCTATCCTGTCTTTTTTCTCTATCCTTTATCTATACATAACAAAAAAACAAGTATTTAACTATCCGCAACGTCCCTAAACAACAGAGAAGGCTGCAACTGATGCCAAAGAGGTTACAATAACATTTCAAAAACATAAAAAAAGGCTGAGAGGCAACAAAAGTTTAAGACATGCTTACATTTCTAAGCTAATCTAAATGTCTGGGATGTATAGAGCTTTGCCTCGAAGTGTGGATGAAGGGGAAGCATGTATAATTTCTGTGTTGGTGTAGCTTTATGTCAAAAATTAACAATGAGCTCTTGTTTTTGTTCGTGAAACATTGCACTGATGTCTGTCAGTCTACCAGCTGCTGCTGTGTGAATTTGTGTGTGCATGTGTTTGTTTCTCTGAACAATGTCTAGAGAGTATGTGGGTTGTGGAGAGAATCCATAATGCAGCCCTATAATTCAGGCAGAATGCTGATTCATGCTCGCAGGCAGGACAAAAGTGCTATCTTTGCTTTAGCACACTGCATAGCTGTACGGGCGCTGCTTTGGCAAATCAGCATGCATGTCTAACGTGCCTGCAAGTGTGCGATGTATTTTTGAGGATATTTCCCGTCAGTGTATATTCCTGTGTCTCCCTGCAGGCTTGTGTGAGTGTTTGTGTGCAGACAGGCAGGCATGCAAGGTGCGCGTATAGTTGTCAGGCGGCGAGGGCAGCACCATGCAGATCTCAGCTGTGTGAGTGAAGCTGAGAACCCTTAAGGAAACACAACCAGACGCAGAGGACCAGAGACCCCTGCTATGTGT